TTGTGTTCTTTTAAATGGTGTTTTTAGATAACAGAGTTAAGTTAGTGTTCATACCATGTGCACCAGTGTTTGTCTAAAATATTAACGCAAATATCAGTATTAAAAAGAAAACAATGAATGGTTTAATCCAGTACGAAATGTCGAAATTCCATCAGTTTTCTTTCCTTCAGAGACATAATAGGGCTAATTTGGTAAGTATGACCTACTATCATATATTCATCATCTTTATTCTTAAACTCTAGTAAAAGTTTTAATTAAAATGGTGAAACTTTATGTCCCATTTAATATTTAAGGTCATATTTTACACTTTTTTGGTCATATTTGACATAATTTTGGGTCATAAGTGCATGCATATATTTATAGTTTTTAGGTCATAAAAATCCGGGCCCTAGTCATCAGATTGGTACACAGCATCGTCTCCCGGCCAAAAAAATCATGCCTCATCAGATCCAAAGACAAAATGATGCTCGTTGCATTCTTTGACATCGACGGTTTGGTGCACCATGAGTTCGTACCGCCTGGACAGACTGTTACTGACCATTTCTACCTGCAAGTTTTGCAGAGGTTGCGCAATGCGGTTCGGAGGAAGCGGTGCGACAAGTGGCAGGGACAGCAATTTCTGCCTCACGATAATGTACCGAGCCACACATCACTTGTTGTGCAACAATTCCTCGCCGAGAAAGACATTCCTGTCATCACTCAACCACCGTACTCTCCGGATCTCGCTCTGAGTGACTTTTGGCTGTTCCCTACTAAGAAAGTGGGCCTCAAGGGGACACATTTTGCAACCATGGAGAACATCAAATCAAATGAGACGGCTGAGCTCTGGAAGATTCCAAAAGAAGCCTTCCACCGCTGCTTCCAACAATGGTAGGATTGATGGAGCAAGTACGTGTGTGCGCAAAGGTCCTACTTTGAAGGTGCTTAGGTAAATGTTGCAGTATGTCCTACCATTAGTGCGCTATACCACCATTCCGGGAACTTTTTGACTACCCCTCATACAAACAAGTATTCAAACAGAAGTTAAGGGAAGAAAACATTTAGAAAAATATCTAAAAATCTGGAAAAATACTTACATATAACATCTATAGCATCTGAAGCATTTCCTATTTGGTGTATATGTAATAGCACGAATGCAAAAGTTCACGTGGGTTTCAAGTAAAGTTCAATAGTTCTAATAAGCCACATTCTAATAATAAAATTTGAGATGCAGAGACTACTGTACATTGTGCCAAAAGATATGGAAAATGATCTTGGGCAGGGAACATATACAAATCTAGAAAGAGATGGTTGTGTTCTATCTGGGGATACCATAATATCCTGGCATCTGCGAGCTTAGCAAAAAAAGAACCTCAATCCGCAACATAAAATTTAAAAGTCTGATGCCTTACTACTGTGCCAGACTGACTGGAAAATATGCAAGGCACAGGAACAAAACATCAGTTGAAAAGTAAAAGTAAAATGCAAGATGCAGAATGCTTTGTTTGATTACCTTGAAGAGTTGTGATCGATTTATGAGACATCATAAGGTGAGGCATCACCTGCTCAAGGGAACCTTGCCACTTGCAAGAGGCCCCTGGGCAGGGACAGGAGTATGGCCGGAATTCACATGTTTCTTCGTGTTCCCCTTTCTCAGTGTGCAGAAGGGATACTGCACAGCCAGATGTTGAATACTTACAGGGGAACATAACAGTGCTCGCAACTTTCTCCATTGCCAAGTTTCGAATGTTCCCTGCAAAGGAATCACACTATACATTACAAAAACACATCCATGCTCTTCCCATTAATATCATAAAATAACAGCAAAATAACGGTGGAAAAGAATGAGTGCTCACCAAGTATTACACAAAAATAAATTAAGAAATTATGAGAGAATAACTAATAACAGAATTTATGGAAAGACTGGAATGAATTCACTGACAGGATGTGCTCTGATAGGAGCAAAATAAATACATGGGTTACTTAAAAAGTCATCGCAGCTAATTTTTGGGGGCAAACACATTACAGTGAAGAAAGTTCAAAATATACCCCGCCAACTGGCTTCGTCTGATCAGGTAGATGTGAAGGTGCATAGGTATAGTAGGCAAGAAAAATATCACATTATGGACTGACTGTTTTTTCCATTCTTTAATCCTTGAAAATTTCAACTGTGATTAAGAAATAAAAAATTCAATGTGAGTTTTGTAAATTCAAGGCACAGTTGCCTGGTCAATTCCTGTATGTCTCTCTAACTCCTTCAGAGACCAGAGCCTATCTTCCTAAATGCACTGGGTGATCATGGCACAAGAAACATTGGTATGAATGGACACAGGGCATCCACTATGTTGCAAGTGGGCACTTGCTTCTCTTCCACATTGGAATGCTTCTATGCACCTTTCAACAGTTCTGTATGGTAGAGAACGATCACCCAGAGCTTCCACAAGCTCTGAGTGATATTCAGTTGCATTTCTGCCATGAAGCACTGCTATTTTCACGTAACAACGCTGTTCCAGGCGGCTAACATTCATTCTCGATTAAGGTTATGATCACAATGACTTTGCGCTGGACTCGCTTCATTGTCCTTGGACCTCCGCATCATCTAGCGGCATCATTAGAAATCAGATGTTGCTTTCTCTCAGCGGCAAATTTGGAAATTCCGGTTGGAGCTTTTGAAATTTCAGGAAAATTATGTTGCCTGAATTTTGAAGTAACCCACGTATTAAAATATCAAGCAAAAGAAATTCGTAGCTTGGGAAGACATCAGAAATTATGACAGGATTGTAACATCCACAACAGCTCTCCACAGGCCTAATACTAGAATGGATGATGATGATGATGATGATGACGACACATAGTTGACCAAGATTTTGTGGCTGATATGCAGAAACACAATTTGTTCTACACAATGTGTTAATGTTATGTCTTTTCCTGCACACTGTTAAAGGGCTAAGGCATGACACATAAAGTTTCATAATGTCAGTCTATCATCAAAAACATCATTAGCCCAACATGTTAGTATTCAAATGGCTGCCTTCTCTGCCTAAAATGGCCATTCCCAGTCACAGTGATACCATTTGTCTGGCATTTATCCATGCTAACGTTCATTTGTAAATATATGTCAAAATATATGTTATGGGACCCACAAGGCAGTTGTTTTAAAGTTCAGAGAACAACATCAACATGCTCTTCTTGCAGCAAACTGACATGTGACAGATAGGTTAGTTAAAAATGATTATGAGTCTATCTTGATTTTGAACAAAATATATGTCATCTTGCATTACAAACGAAATTCCATATTCCAGTGCATGGGGTTAACAGAAGACTGCAACATAATAAATATGAAAAGCCCTACTTCTGAGTTACAATGCTGTGTAGTCTACTGAAGGTAGACGAACTTTTCAGAGGAACATGTCACCTCCATCTTCATGGTCAAAGAATAAGCAGAGCAAAAAAACAGTGTGAAAGTAGGTGACTCTGCTTGTCACTTGCTGTCATGTGTTCCTCTGAAACATTTGTTTACTTTCAGCGGACTACATGCCATTACGTCCCAGAAGACAGACGTCTTCATAACCACCACTGCAAGAATCTCAGATCCTACAACATAAATATGGGTTGTTGTACTACAAACTTTTTACATTATACCACAGACAGATCATTCAACAAAGTGGTAAATAGTGAAATGTGAGGAGGATCTTGGCCATTCTTTTATTCCACACAGTTCCATATGCATAATTTCAACCTCAAATAACTGAAACATTCCATAAGGTTTAGTGTTGATCACAGTTTGTTATTTTAATATGCTTAGTTTAGAAAAAAGTTAATGCAAAGTTAGTGAACAATTTTTTGTTTCGTGACAAATTCTACAGTACAGAACACAATATAAAATTAGAAGCTGTCACATAAACACAGCACACTGAATTCTTCTGGAGCAATCAGCCATGTCAGTTGGATACAAAGTTACCAGACAAATTTTGTTCTGTGATAGATGCTGCAATAGAGAAAAATAATGTAAAATTTTAAGCTGTTATAGAGACTGAGTTCAATGAAATCTTCTCAAGCAATAAGCCATGTCAGTATGGAGCGGAATTCCAATGTCTCAAGGGAAGACAGTGTCTCTGAAACACCAGAAATTCATAGCATGTGTAACCGCACCATTGAAATCCTTCCCCCCCCCTTTTATTTCAGTAGCTGATGGAGTAGATACTAAGAATTATCAAGAAACAAAGGTTTAAGACACATTGTCAGAACAAAGAGTAGGCGATGAGCAGATAGACCAAACTTGCGTGGACAAGGACATCTGCTAGTCCTTGTGTCCAAGCATCTGGTGTTATTTTTTCAAAAGGGCAGAAATGATACTTCAGGAAACCCCACTGAGTTTCTTTAGAAATTGAGAATTTGACTTACTGCGGCAAGCCACTTTGAGAATTCGAGAAGTGACAATTTCTACCAGCCGTAAGTCAAAAGTGGGAGTGCCAGGAGATCATTAGCGACCCCTCATAAGTTGCATCGCTGTCAACTTCACCGTTTGGGTTTTAGGGCGAAATTCCCTTAAAAACCATCGGTCATTGGCCGAAACCAAAATTAAGTCAACTCCTCTTATTTGAATCAGCCTCTCAGGGAAATTAGGAGGAGAGGAGAATAGGCGGATACAACACAGTTAGGACCTCTGTCTCGGCAGAGAGTTCAGTCTAAGATTTTTAGTCGTCTATCAACTTTAGAACTTGGCGGAGGCAAACCCAGCATCACATGTGCTAAAGGAAAATTCTAAGTATAAAATTTTGCTCATAACGACTCATATAAGGATTTGGATTAATCCATAAGCGGACGGTTGTAAGTTGAGCTTATCGAGTGCAATTTGTGCAAGTGTAACACCAGCTGCTTGTAAGCCTAAACTAAATCAGATTGTTTGACTTTATACAGCCGAGTGCCTTTAAGAAGAGCAATAAAGTGTTGCAGTGGCACAGTGAATTGTGTTGGCTAGAGGTGCTTCACCCTCAATTGTCTGAGCCTGACCCGTATCCGCCCTGAAGAGAGACTCATCTCCACTAGCTAGTCAAATCCATCACCAGCTTTCACCTACTCACGCCTTCCCCCCCTTTACAATGAATCCGAACAGTCTCCAGCTGTTTGCTGGCGCCCATACCATCAGGTCCCATCCTGAAATTCAAACCCCCTGTAATATCAACGGAAGAAGCGGTGGTGCCGGAAGAAGACGTGGAGCCTGGTCAAGCCGAAACCAGCCACGGTCTAGCAACTTCAGCAGCGGCAACACCAGGTAGGGCGGTTAAAGGTGGCGACAAACTTGTGGGGCTTGAAGCCTCAATGAGGAACAAGCCAGTTAAACACGCTTACACATCTGTTTAGCACCCCCCCCACCCAAAATCAAATAGTCTTGGTTATAAGATGTCAACTGTTACTCCATTGCCCTGGCATCTAAATTCCTGCTATTCTGCCAATGGTAGCAGTTTAAACTTGTGATGATACCATTTCTGTGCTGTTTTTTCAGATAAATTTTTATTCGATTGCCTAAATGACAGTCATGTGATTTACAGGCAACTGCTTCAAAGCAGTCTCCTTTGCTATTTGTTGATGACAAATTGGAATACAAAAGACTTCATTACTTGAAAACCGATCATGAGTTTACCTTAATGTCGACTAGAAGTGATGCTACCTTCTCTCATAATCCGAACTAAATATTTCAATGAAAGGGATTAATTATCAGATAAAACACTTAACTGAATCTCTATTGTTGATAAACTTAACTTGTAAGGTGAACATAAAGTTGTCCCTATGCTTAACTAATTAAGCACTACACCATAAAAGCATATGGGAGAGTGGATGTATAGATCCACATTTTCTTGACCTCGGCACTAGTTAGAGGTGAGTGGTCAGCTTCATGCCCCTGCCACTTTACCCCTGGAGAAAGAGCCTCTGGTACCCATTGGATAGGGGGCTAAACATACGTGGGGCAATCCAAAAGTTTCCGAAATTTGAATTTTGCGCGTGAATGGTTATGAGTACATCGAAATACCGCTAGGTGTCTCCTCACACATCCTTCTTGAATCAGTGTGGCAAGCGGTGTCGAGTTGAGTGGTTGGGTTTATTGTTGGTGAACGTATTTCCATTGTTGTCTTTCCGTGAGTCTGCAGTTTTGCGATGGCTGACCTGAGAGAGCAGTGAGTCTGTATAAAGTTTTGTTTCAAACTTGGGAAAACCGCTGCAGAAACGCACCAAATGTTGAAGCAAGCTTTTGGTGAAAACAGTTTAGGCCAGACACAAACTTACAACTGGTATAAGCGTTTTAAAAATGGCCAAACACTGACTGATGACGA